TTTTTATATAACTTACATATATTATTAAATGAGTGAATGTATTCAATATTATAAATTTTAAATAAATAAAAAGAATTAATTATTTAAATAATATATAAAATTATACAAAAAAATAATAATAATAAGTGCTCAATATTTTTGTTCGATTTCATTGTGACAGATTTCGTGAGGCGTTTGTGTTTGGCAAGAACCGGCGGTAGACGTGGTGGGTATTTATGGGAGCCGAGGGACGCGGAGAACAGGCATTTTGCATTCATTTTGGTGAAGGAAAGTGTCACTAAATTGAGTAATTGACCTGGAAGAAAGGGAAAAAAAAACTACTAAATGAGGAAAAAAAATTATAAATCAATTTTTATTTTGGTCATGAAATAAAAATATAAAAAGAAATTAGATAATGGGTTCGGAAGTGATATAGATAGTGCATATCAGTCTCAATTCACCTTATTAAATGTTTATATCTAAATTTAAAAACTAATATGTACTACTCCATTCATTTTTAGTAATTTTAGTTTGATTTTTTGACTTTTTAAACATGAATTTTACATAAAAATTTAACATATTATATAAATGATAATTGAAAAAAAAATTTAATCAAGTAAAAATACTCACAAGAATTACATTTAGAGAAAACAAATTTTCAATTGTTGATCATATAAGTTATTAAATTTTTATTTAAAATTTACATCTGAAAACAAAAAAGTCAAATTAGGTCTACTAAAAATGAATAAATGAAGTGTTTAATAAGGTTGATTTTTGATTTTTTAAATTCATGATTTAATTGATTTTAAAATGCATTTAATAAAGTGAATTTTTAAATTTTGAATTAAGTTTTAATTAGGAAAAATTGCAATTTAGCCACTTATGATTTGAGATAAGTGCACATGAAGATTCAAGATTTTAAAATGTGTGTATAGCATACTTGTAGTTTTGAATATGTAGATAAAAACCTAAGATATTAAAATGTGTACATAAACACCTGAGGTTTATACTCTGTGCAAAAATCACTTGAACTTTCTTAAAGTCTTGTAACTTAAAAGAATAAAAGAAAATAAAAATAAAGGTATTTAGGACAATTTCATATGATTTAAAGTGATTATATTTACTTAATACAAATCTAAAGTTTTCATTAAATTTCAAAGTTTTTACATGCACCTACATCAAATCACAAATATATTATATGCACATTTTAAAATCTTGAGTCTTTATATGCACCAACTTTAAATCACAAATAGCTAAAATGTAATTTTTCCTTTTAATTAAATAAAAGACATTATTTAAAAATAAAACTCTAATATTTTTTTAGAAGTTAGAGATTGATATGCTCAAATTAATATATGCTTTAGTTTTTAGGTTTTGATAGAGATGAGGATAAGGAAAGTGGCAAGTAATTACCATTTGACATAGTAGTTTTTGAAACTAGTGACTATCCATTAGATTAGAAAAAAACCGTTAACTGTTACTAATTTCAGATTGGTATACCTGTAAAACTAGATATTTTTTGCCGAAATCTTTAGCATAGATACAATTCTATGACTCATCACTTTGGCAAAAATATTCTAAAATAAAAAATAGAACTTTTATAAAATGAAAAAAATAAAAAAAAATATTTTACAATTCAAACAATATCAAATATTTATAAAATACTTTGGACTCATAAAAATTAAAACTATATATCCAAACTGGCTCTTTTGAGCCATGGAACTTCTACCATGAAATACAGATGGTAAGGGGCCGCCTTAATAGAAATTTTTGATGGGGAACAAACTTCGTCATTCTAAATAGTTATAGCAGGTTTAAATGAGATGAGTTTCCTGAAATTCTCCCAAGACTTTTCCCATACGGTAACCTCGTAACTCTTACTCTGCACTCCATCTTTCACGGCCAAAATCAGTCGGTAATTGACTCCTTAAACGACCTGTTGTTCTCCCTTGACAATGCTCTCCAGCTTCAGATTCGTTTCAGATTGCTTGTTGATCTCTGCCACCGCAAACTCAGCAATCCCCTTCACGTGCGAGTCATTCAGATCCTTTATTGGCTGCCATCCTCCAACTCCGAGGCGTGCAATGGCGCCTGCGCAGATGAGAGGAAGGAGGAGAAGAGAAATAAAGAGGAAAAGGAAACGGAAGTTGATAGCATTCCGACGGTTTTCGAGAAGCGTTTGTGTTTGGATATAGCGGTGAGACTTGGATTAGGTATTTATAGGAGCGGATCGAGGTATGTGCCTGGTTCATAATATATTTTATCATACTTTTTTTTTTTGATTTTAATTTTTTCATATTTATTGATCATATTAAATTTTAATTAATTTAAAATTAAATTATATTTATTTTTTATTTAATAAAACTTAAATTTAAAATTTTATTTAAAAATAATCAGACTTCTATTATTTAAATTAATAAATCAATTGATTTTATTATATCTATTTATTTATTTAATTTGGTTTTTATTTTGGTAGACAAAATTGTCGCCGAAATTACATGTGGACCTTACAGGAAAACTGTCTGACCCCACCGACATCTGTTACAAAACTGCAGTCGTTCGATCTTGTTCGTGGAGAGCACGTGACGCAACGATGTGGAGGAGTAATACTTAGGACAGTAGATCCAAAAGTTACGATGGCGACGTGGCAGGAGGACATTAATTCATTCCAACTGTGATGTTGACCTGAACTGATCTTAATCTCTCCCTTTAATTGAATTTTGATGGAAACGAGATCCTTGCAGTAGATTTAAGTTTTATATACAAGTATATTATAATTACAATATTATGTAAAATTATAAATTTATAATAATAATAATATAATATTAAAT